TTGTTGTGTTTACGACAAAAAATTAGTTATTAGAGGTTTAAGTTAAAGTAAGTATTACCACAGTGTAGTATCATCAACTTAATATGTCCAAAGTACTCACAGTCATATTAAAGAGTCATTACGCATATATTAACTGCTAAACACCATTTTAATGTTGCTGCTGGTCTAGGTGGTAATTTCAAAACGTAATACACTGTTGGTTAGCTTAGCCTATTATCTAAGAGTCATATTTTTTAATCTAATCATTTGTTTTGTCTGTAAAAAGTCCAAATTTTCCCTCTGAAATCTGAAGTAAAGTATTAAAGTAGCAGAAAATGGAGTGTAATTAAGTACTGCACTTGAAAAGTAGTAAATGTTATATTCCACCTGCAAATGATGGATATAAGGGGGGTGAACGTCAGGGGACAGTGTGGTGGCACACTTGTGATATCACTAAGCAAGGTCTTATGAGTGAAGCTGATAGTGGATATGACCCAAACCGTGTGTTGAGAGCGCCAGAGTGTCATCCTATATGTATCCCTCCACCAATGGAAAGCCCTTAACACATGATGAGGAAACTGCTGAGTGTCCACATGCCATGTTTGAGCCTCAGTACCTTAAGAGCTCTTGTACTAGGTCCACTGCCAAAGGTTTCAAAACAAATACAGGTGATGTTACACTATCGCAGAGGCACATGACAGAGCTGGAGTTAACATATGGTACCGACGGTGGTGGTGATGGGGGGGGGTCAGGGACATAGTGGTGAAGTCAGGGTTTTATGAGAGGTTGCAGACAGGGTGGTGACCTTTCTGAATCACTTGAGAGTTGTCAGTGTGACGCACACATTAGCAGACGCAGGCTCAGCTATTCAGCCAATGTCACCAGCTCGCCTGGGCGTGTTTGTCAACATTGTCGTCTGTGATGGGGATTGGGGCAGGGGAGGGGAACTGAAACTTGACACTAACCCTAACCCTGGCTGGTTAACTTCCTGGTTGCCAGGAAATGGTGATGATCATACATTGCTGCCACCAGCTGGTCACACAGTAACAGCTCAACCATTGCTATGTATGGGCCTGAGCAAGAGGAAAATGTAACTATAACGATGACATTAACACTATGATGTAACCACCACTAGTATAATGATGATTATCTGATTCTAAATTCAAATTGCGGCTTTGTTTTATAATTCAATATTATAAAACGTGATCCTATTTAGTCCATTTAGTCCTGGGGGAAAACAAAGCCAGCTCAAGACATATTTCTTTTATTATTTGGGTAAAAAAACATTCAACCCTAACCCTTTTTCTCCCTGTGGCAGATCATTGAGAAGTTCATCAATGAGACGTGGTTTGAGCGCTACCAGGAGCCCATCTCCAAGGGCAGCCTCACAGCCATTTGGTCCGTAGCCGTCGCCATCTTCTCTGTTGGGGGCATCTTTGGCTCCTTCTCCGTTGGACTCTTTGTCAACCGTTTGGGAAGGTAAAAAAATTCAAATCTTGCTGGTGTTACAATAACCCAAAAGCCTTCTTGGGGCTTTTTTTTTAAGTAACACACTGTGCTTTAAAGAGCAATTTAATAACGCACAAATTCAATTTGATTTTACAATTTGACCAGGATCAGTTGATAATAAAATGCCTGCACACAATTTATTTATAATATTGATGAGTAGACTCATTCTTCTTGGGGACTACAGAGAACACAAAAAGCATAAAACATAACAATCACACAAAAACAACAAAAATAACACACATTAAGGATGCATTTTTAGAACACTGTCCGAGCTTTAAACAAAAGATAATACCAAAGTTAATTCCAAAAATGTGTAAAGGCTATTTGTAGATACCACGACCTGAATTTGTTAAATTACATTTTTATTATTTTCTGTGGCCTACAGGAGGAACTCTATGCTCATTGCCAACATCCTGGCCTTCATCGCAGCCACTCTGATGGGCTTTTCGAAGATCGCGAGCTCCTGGGAAATGCTGATCATTGGTCGTTTTGTAGTGGGCCTTTACTCCGGCCTCTCCACAGGCTTCGTGCCCATGTATGTGGGTGAGGTTTCCCCAACAGCCCTACGAGGAGCCCTGGGCACCCTCCACCAGCTGGGCATTGTGGTCGGCATCCTCATTGCACAGGTTGGTGGATAGCGATTGTCAGATAACAAAACAACCTTGTGGCTTTTTTGTACACCCTTGTTTGTAATTTGTTTTTACAAATGCTTGCTAGAAGCTGTGGAGGTGGTTTATCTGTGTGACGTGTATCTGGGTTGATTTCAGGTGTTTGGAATGGAGTCCGTCATGGGAAACGATGACTTGTGGCCGCTCCTCTTGGGCTTCACCTTCATCCCTGCCGTTTTGCAGTGCATCCTGTTGCCCCTCTGCCCCAAGAGCCCCCGTTTCCTGCTCATCAACAAGAACGAAGAGAACAAGGCCAAAGCTGGTTAGTTCACACATACACAAGAGGGCACAGATCTCACTGATTAAAGTGGATGCATTTAGCTGTAACTGCTAAATCCTTGCATGATTTTTGTGTATGTTTCTGATTCAAATAGTGCTGTGTTTTTGCAGAAATCTGGTGGTGATATTTCCATCTGGAAAAAAAAGTCTAAAATTAAAAGAGTCATCACAGATTCCGATGGGCTTTAAAATGTCCAAGGATGTTATCAAAAGTAAACAATAATGACAAATAAAAATGTAGGGGAAAAGACTAGGTGCAGCCTGTAGAGCTAACCATCTGCTTTTTTCACTGCACATTTCAGTGTTGAAAAAGCTCAGAGGCACCAACGACGTGAGCGCTGACATGCAAGAGATGAAAGAGGAGAGCCGACAGATGATGAGGGAGAAGAAGGTGACGATCGCAGAGCTGTTCCGCTCTCCCCTCTACCGTCAACCCATCATGATTGCCATCGTTCTGCAGCTCTCCCAGCAGCTGTCTGGAATCAACGCTGTGAGTGTCCAGGCTTAGACATTATCCTATTGTTCGCTCTGAGGTCTGTCATTGAGCTTCTGAAGAAAAGACACAAAAAAAAAACAAAGAGAAACTTTACTTTTCCCTGACATACTTGGTACACATTCACATGCTATTTCACACTACAGCTACATAAGAAACAGAAGAAGATATTCAGAACATACAGACATGTCATCTTTGTAAAAAGAGAAAAGAGGGAACTTTTTCATGAATCTTTGCGGTTGTCGTACTTTTTAGGTATTCTACTTCTCCACTCGTATCTTTGAGAAAGCCGGAGTTGAGCAGCCTGTCTATGCCACCATTGGAGCCGGAGTAGTTAATACAGCTTTCACTGTGGTGTCGGTGAGTACAGTATAACGTTTTTGAAGTGAAATCACCATTGCAGTACAGATTAAAATCATCATATTAGAGATTATTTTCACCCAGAAATGAAAGTTAGAAAAGTAATTTTCGAGGTGAAAAATTTACATAACTCTTGTGTTCGTATATCACTTTACAGTTGATTCCGTTGGTTCTACCAATATGTAAAATGTCTTTCTGTACACTAGAGTATTTTTCCCCGCAATGAGTGAGAATGTGTTAAGAATAGCAAATATAAAAGCTTTGTTGAACTACATACAGGTTTATGACTTAATATTACGGCACTGACCGTGTTCCTCATCTTGTTTATTTTGTGGTGCAGCTGTTTGTGGTAGAACGTGCAGGACGTAGGTCTCTGCACATGCTGGGGCTGCTGGGAATGGCCGGATCTGCCCTCTTAATGACTATTGCCATGGCCCTGCTGGTAAGTTTCCCTTTAAAGTCTTAATACAGTGTTGATATGTAGTGAATATGCTAACACATATTGACTTGCAGGAGGTGGTTGTCAAGATTCTCACTGAGTAAATACCAGAAATTAATCTTCTTGTTGTCTTATGTTCCTGTAGGATCAGCTCAAATGGATGTCGTATTTGAGCATCGTGGCCATTTTTGCCTTTGTCGCATTCTTTGAGATTGGACCGGGTCCCATCCCCTGGTTCATCGTGGCAGAGTTGTTCTCGCAGGGACCCAGACCATCAGCCTTTGCTGTAGCTGGTTTCTCCAACTGGACTGCCAACTTCATAGTGGGAATGGGCTTCCAGTACCTAGAGGTGATTAAAAAAAAAACAGAAAAAAACATTTGGATTCAGTATTTGTGTTTTTTTTATCGTTCTGTAATTTCTTGAGAATAACGTAGTTGGGTACTAATTATGGAATAAATAAATTATTCAGTTTGATTTAGTTGAATTTATGAACAATTATTGATTTTCAGAATAATGTCCTTACCCTACAAACTTACCTGCAATTCATTATGGCATATTTAACATGTCCTAATGGTCTTGATCTTCAAATACTATCACCTTAATAGTATTTAAAGCTACCATAATACTTTTTTTGAAGGCTTACTTTTCATTCTCACTGTCAGACGGTTGAACCCTGCTAGGACTCCACTAAATAATTCTCTCCTCTTATCTCCCTTCACAGGAGCTGTGCGGCGCCTACGTGTTTGTCATCTTCATTGTGCTGCTGCTCTTCTTCTTCGTCTTCACCTACTTCAAAGTGCCGGAGACCAAGGGCCGGACATTTGACGAGATTTCAGCCGGCTTTCGCCAGACGGCTGCCGGAGGAGAGAAGCACTCGCCGGAGGAGCTCAACAGCCTGGGAGCTGATTCTCAGCTCTGAGTGACTGTTTTTTTTACTTCTAACAAACTCTTTCTCAGACCAAGGAGTAACGAGAAGGGTCTACTAAGTAGAAGTAGACAGATCCATTGGTAGAATAATTTTCACACTGTCACCACATTTCGGACGTCATTACCAAACACAGAACAGCCCTGTGTGATTCTCCAACATGACGTCTTCTGCTGACTTTTTCATGTCACACAAAGAAACAAACTCAATGGGCACTATGTCGCCTTATGGATGTGGAGAGGGGAGCTGAGGATAGATGGGGAAGGTTTTGAATATGTTAAAGATATTTTAAAGAAGAAAAAGGAGTGTCTGCATCCCTCAATCAACCTTTTTTAAACTTTTTTCACTGAATATATTACTGATATTGTGCTTATGCTCTGTTCTTTGTAGCATGTTACAATCAGTTTATTATCTGGTTAAAGCGCGCTGTAGCTTTCGAGATCAGTTCACTGTGCAAAACACTTGTTTTTATCAATCATACTGTAAAGCTGTATCACTGTAGACCCAGCACTGTAGATTACAGCTCAACTTTGTCTCTCCCCACCAGATGGTGCAGTGCCCTTAAAAAAGGTGCCAGTGCTCCACTGATAAGGAATAAGTTATTTTGTACCTTTTTAAAGCTACTGAGTACACAAATATGTCAATGTATTGCTGTGAGTATTTTAATTTTCCTAATGAAATTTATGAACAGTAATGCTCTGTATTATGGAGTATTGTTGTTACTTATTTACACATGCTGGACAATATTTTACTCTTTTTATTGCCCTTCTTTCTGAAAATGTCATCTATTTCTAAGATTTATGGTCATGAAGACAAAACAGACAACACAAACAAATTAATTTACCATTCACAATTTTTTTTCACAATTCCTTTTTAGCCAAACATTTAATGAAATTAATATTAAGATGTTTCAAGAGGAGCAATCTCCACAGATCAGTACCAGAGCGCTGAACTTGGCAGTGAAGTTGAAATAAATAAATCATCCACCCATTTTAACATGACAGGAGATAAGAACGCACTCACAATCAGGCAGCCCCAAAACCAAAAATCTCTCTCACAAAACCAGAACACTTGTGAGTTTAAGTGCCCATCAAAAAAAAAATCAAGCCGTCTCTGCCTTCAGCCTTTCAGCCTTATCACTTTGGAGCAGTTTCAGGTCAGATTGTCCTGATCCCGACTGAAAGCCTCTGTTAGTGAGCGATCTTCACTTTATTTAATTTGAGATTACCTGTGGAGTTTCCAAGTCTGGTGAATTGGCTTGTGAGCTGTCAGGATCTTTTCACACAAATGGGAGCTGCAGTGCTGCATGCTCCTCCTCTTTAAAAACAACTGCAAAGCATCTTCAGGAAAAAAAGAAAGAAAAGAAATAATAGGGACCAAAATGAATGTCAGGTTTTCATTATCCTGAAAGTGCTTGTCAACCATCTTGGGTCGAACTCCCAGTGTTCCTTCCACTCTATAATGTCCATAAAGTGTCCTAGGAGGTGGACATGTGTTACTATGGTGTAAGGCTTGTTTTGTGCCTTGTGCACTGAATTCTTCAGTATTGTTAGCTCTCTCTCTTTCTCTCTTTCGGTTGCGTACTGTTGCGTAGCTGGTGAAGGAAATTGTAGTTTGGCTCATGTTACCTTGCTGTACACAGCGCTGTCTATTGATCACCTGTTGAACCTTTCTTTTCTTTACCTGCGTTGTTTGAGGAAAGTTATCTTTTTAGCAGCACTTTATTATTCGCAGTAATATTTCTTTGTTACTTAAACAAACTTTGAGGACGTTTCAGTCTTTTTTTTTTTTTATTCCAGTTTGGAATCTTTGTCACTGAAGAGAGACTGAAGTACTGCTGATGGATTACTTGATGTATTTGAAATGGAAATGTGTGGAATTGTATCATTTGTTCATATCTATTACGGTCTTGTATGGAGCACATTTGGGTGTGTACACACACACACACAGGTCAGTTGTGAGTAAATATAGTAATATTACTAGTCTAATGAGAGCGTTGATCCAAATCCAACCCTTAATCATTCCATAATTAGTTGTTAATTATTGTATATAGTAAATCATTCTAGAGTATCTTTTGTCATTTGATGGGTCACATCACCCATCCTGGAAAGCACTGTAACATCCACTCTCTGTGCCTTTGCGTGGCTTTCACGTATCTTCACCAGCAAAATTGTGTAATAGCACCAAAAGATGCACTTCCCCACACAGACCGATGTCTATTGCAAATATCAAAACTGTATTTTATGTACATAGATTCACAATTTTGCTTGGGCATTGGATTTTTAATGTGGCCTGTAGCCATTGAAATCTCCTTATGGCACACAACTTGATGTAAATATGAAACACACTACAGCTCACCCACTCCAAAATTTAAAAAATGTTTAACTTTAAGAAACTTTTTTGATATGTAAACTAATGATTAGTACTGAGTAGTGATGTACATTTCTATCCATTTAGTTTATGTACTCTTGTTCCCTTTTGATTTTAATTTTATATCTGAAGATATGTTGTGGCCTAATACTATTATAATAAATCGAATTCAGATTTTACTTGTAAGTTGTGTGTTAATGAGATGTATTCAGTAGTGTTTTCTTTTTAGCGCACAGAGCATATTCTAATGTTTGTAATAATAAAAGATCTGTGTGTATGGTGTTGGAATGTGAACCTCTGCTGGGGAAATATGAATTGTGATGGATGGTGTCCTGAATGGTTCTGCAATCTTTTATAACTGGTTTAATAGCTGAATAAAAGAAATCATGCATACAGATATAACGTTTTTTTGGGGTCAATTTGTGGCTCTTTTTTGGAATTAAACCTACAATGACTGATTTTATTATTTATTTTTTGGCCACTTGGGGGCAGTACAACAACCTCAACCTACAACTTAGATGTTAGCAAACAGTTGCTTTTTTACACATCCAGCATGCATGGAGAAATGTTAACATCAATTTGCAATTTAACATGATATTTCTTGTGTGAAAATGCACCAGAACAGTGAAGTTGCTGTAAAATCTAAATAATTAGTTGAAAGATTCATGGAGATATGGGAGAGCTGCAGAATTGGGTGATAATTATCTCTTCATCCACTGCCAGCAACGTCTTTCACATTGCACATAGTGTTTTCTGTTGCTGATATAAATTATAGTGCTATATTGCTATAATGCTATATTTGCTCAGCTTTAACTAAACTGAAATAGATGAGGCTTTCAAACGCTCACAGTCCTATGCAGTCTATTAGAAAAGACTCAGGGGTCGTCGTGTGGAATTTTAGTCACCTATTAAGTTATAAGTTGACCACACCTTCTTCAGCCAAAGAAGCATGTGAGATGTGGGTGAAAGCTTCAAAAAGCCAGTAAGTGGACTCATGTTTTAGATGAAATAAAGGAAAACAAACGGAAGTCCTGATTTAACAAATTGACCGAACTAAATTAGACCCAAAAGGGAACTTGTATACAGGCTAGCCAAAGCCTTTAATGACATTAAGGATGCACAACACAACACCTAAAGTAATTACACTAGACAGAGAGTTTCCTAACCAAATCAATATTAACAATGAAAAAACTCAACTTGCAAACTAAACTTAAATACACATCTTATCTCTCTAAGCACCCCTTGTTGTAACTTAACTGAAAATAAACCTATATAAGAGAAAAGGTGAGGGTCAGTAGAAATCATAATACTAAATGTTTTATCAAGAAAATAGACCTGGCATTTTGTTTAGTTTTATTGGTTTCTCAGTGCATAATAGCATTTGCAAGCAAGAAAAAAATAAATTGATTTGAAAGTGATTCTCTGGCATCATAGAAGTCTTTGAAGACGACTTCTCTAGAAATATTATCTGATCCTAGAATGACTAAATCTACAGTTTCTCTCTTTTCTAAAGATCATTCACCCAAACCCTGTCTCCATATCTTATGTATGCTACAAATAAACATTTTCTTTTAACCTGTTACACAACAGTTATGACACTGGATAACTGGTTTAATGTTCCAGCCAGGCTTTTGAAAGGCAAAATGTAATGTTTATTTAACCCATCTGTGCAGAATACAGTTGGTGCATCACTATTTTTGGCTTGACTTAATGTCCTATCTATCTATCTATCTA